TATCAAGTGAAGAAATAGATCTCTAAAGCTCGTCCACTGATTATAATCACCCGAAAATTGTGGTATAGCTATCGGTGGTAGCTTTGGTCTAAGTTTAGGAAGTTCTGAAGTTGTGTCAGATTTTGAAGATTCACTCATTAATGTAATATCATAAAACCTATCCTTTAGCCAAGTCTTTAAGTCCAAATAATGTTGCTCTGTTTGTTCAAAATTATCATCAATATACAGTCCAACGATACAGTAAGCAAATCATAACTTTTTGTGTAACAAGCCCAATATTCATGTAATGTCTCCATGCGCGTATCTAAATAACCTCTTGTTCGTTTATCCTTTGAACATTTCTTCGTATTTGTAAGTAATTTCTCGATTTTAGTTGAATTTTGAATCATAATAGCTACATGTTGTTTTGCAAGTTGATCCGCCATATTGAATGATATTCGGAAATGTAAATTGATGAAAAAGTTTAATTTAGACAAATATCACTATTTCAACGCAGATACTAAACGTTCATCACTCAATGTTATGTTTGTTTGGTAAGTTCAAATCTACTAAGTCTGTGTAAAAAACGGAGCAAATTTTTCTGTCTTTTTTGTTAAGAAATTTTTCTAAGTCTTTTATCACACAAATTCAACACAGTCTTTTTTCAATCAAAATTTTCTAAGTGTTTTTATTACGTGAAATCGGCTAAGTCTTTTTTATTTTTACTCTTTGAAATAACACAAGTCTTAGACGCACTGTTATTGCACTATGTTCGACACTTGCACTTTACTTACAGTTTATTCGGCAGCAGAAGGACCATTTGGTTAACGAAACACTCACACACCACTACACTGTATTATAGGAACACACATGGAGGCTAAGAATGTTTAACTATACATAATAAAGAAAATCCAAATGATACCGCGTTTAACTCAGCTATAGTGCCATCTAGGGAGAGCAGGAAGAACTAAATTTACTTACAAAGTCTGTTAGCTAAACACAGACAGACAATCAGACAGACAATCAGACAGACAGACAATCAGACGGACAGACAGATAGACAATCAGACAGACAACTAGACGGACAGACAATCAGACGGACAGACAGCTAGACAGATAGACAATCAGACAGACAGAAAGACAATTTTTTTGAAAATGGTTATTCATGTCTTAAATATATTATGCAAATAATCTCTTACGTAAGCTAGTTATTTCTATATTATGAACACTATTATTATGTATAATATTACGATCAAGTATACATCCATGAACTGATTAAAATGTTTTTATTCATTTGTTTAAAGTGTTTGTATAAAAAAATGTTGTTCATTATATTATAAACTATAAAGGAAACATACACTAATGATTTTCTTTAATGTGCACCTACTTATTAGGTAGTCTTTAACCGTGTAGTGGAGGGTTAAGAATATCCCCTACCCCACAATATAATCCAGTGAATGTCGTAAGTGGCGACAGGGGAAAATGAACCAAGAGAAGGGTAACAATATCTACCTAATAACAGCTGAACAAAAATAACAAATGCGTTTCCCAAACCGCTTGATAAGCGTGAAGACACAAATATCCTCCCTGTGAGGCAATATACTCGTATTGGGGAGGTCTATGTTTAGTGGTGAACTTTTGATAAGCTTTAAAATATAATAGATGGCACTTACTTCTTCCGACAAATATCAGTATTTGAACTTACAGATTGATGCATTCCATTTTAGTCAACTTAAATCTAGTTAGTTACGAGTAGGTGACAACGCATCTAATGCCTTTGCTTGAAGTTTGCTTCCGTTACACATGAACTGCAGTGGCCGATTATCAGCACTTAGAATGTAAATTGGTTTGTCATTTCAATTTATAAAAAAAAAGCATTTTTCCTTTTCTTTTAAAATGAATACTAAAATGGACACTTTAATGTTCAAGGTTCACGTATTACATTACATTTATACGTGAACATCGTAAATTGATATTTGAAATTGTTTTTTGGAATAAAGATGCTGAGAAAGATTGCTTAGGTTTTTTGTTACATCTACACCATACAAGTAACAGTTAACAACCGTTAACTACGGGTGTTTCTGTGCGAGCTATATAATAGATAAATACAGTATATTATAGACTCGACGAGACGAGTCAGTCTATTATGAAAGCTAACTTTAGGATTGAAACAAAATAGATTTAAAAAAAAACATGACCATCAATTTACTTCAGATAAAACGATAAAAAATATCATACAATATTTAGGTATAGTTCATTTCATACAACCGATTGTCAGTTCCTTGTAGAAAGACGTGCAAACCGTTAGCAAATAACTTCGTACTTCCTAATGCAGGAAATTTGAAAACTACAACTAACGGAATAATAAAATGATAACAATAATATTTTGTAGGCAGTAGGATTCATGCCTAGGAATTCGTTTGTGTTGGTGCCACACGCTTACCTACTCCTGCAATCAATTAGCAATGCGTGCACTCTAGTGCTCTGGTCTGAAGAGTATTCCATCCTGATCCGAAGAGGTGACAACCGTCTATAAACTTCTTTATTTGAATTTGGTTGCAGTACATGTACGTGGTAGAGCCTAGCTGCAACTATATTAGTAGTACAGTGGGTAGAATGGGTCGGCTCGACCGTGAAAGGACCACGCTCTCACAGAATACCGGCATAAAATAGTAGCGTAATGCTGCTGTGTTTTTAGTATGGCGAGTGTAGAGAACCGGAGACCCTTTTTACTGGAAACGAGGCATTCCATGTTAGTCCTTACGGGTGAAAACGCATCTGCATTTCGATTCGTAGTCGAGGATAGATGTATAGAGGTCTATGGGCCATAGCATCCACTTACCATCAGGTGAATTTATGCTTGTTCGTCACCCTTATCCTATATATAAAAACAGCTGAACTGTAAGTTAATTTTTACATACATAAAAATATTGCGGTCTTAAAATAACATTTCCATTTAACAGGTAATTTAAGCTCTTCATCACATTTCTGCGATGAACTAGAACCCTGACCAAAGTTTTATTTTGATTAAAGTGGAATATAAAGCCAATATATTAAGATGGTTGGAGGCGTTTAATCTCACTTCAGTAACTACCAACTTAACTGTAAGCTTGTTTGTGACTATGGAATAAATATGTCAAAACCCCGCAACGATTTCAACCGCTCAATCTCACTCACACATGCACACAGTACGCAGGCATTCACACTCGTAGACGAAAAGAGACACGCAAACAATAAAAATATAATTGCATGCGCATTTCAAAGGTTAAGTATCTATTGTTATATCTATTCCAGTCACAATTTTCGGCAGCTTAAATTCAAGGCAATTACCTCACTATTTTATACAGCTTGTTACAGGCAATATTTATACATTTAGTTAGAAAACCTACACAAGCTCGTCGTACAACGTGTTATAAACAGATTACATTATATAAGTGTTAGAAATAAGTCTTGTCAACAGTCTTGTGATGTATCATCTTGTCTTGTGATGCGTCATATACGTCTTTATTTTGTGGAAATATTAAACAATTCGAAATGTAATACGAGTAGCCCATTCATACCACTTTACAAGTAAATTGATGTTCTATCATATTTAAATAAGCGATAAATAAAATGACAGATCTATTCCATTATTGTCCTTTATTATTATAAATGGCTTTATGTGATTTATTCAGGTCTATTTTTAGTAATAAGAGTGACAAACGAGCACACAACTTGTGGTGAAACCACGCTGCAATTATATTATGGTTGTAGCACGAGTGGGTCGGCTCGACCGTGGAAGGACCACGCTCTCACAGAATACCAGCTTAAAATAGCAGCTTAATGCTGCTGTATTTCGTATGGTGGGTGTAGAGTTCCAGAGACCCTTTTTTACTGGAAACGAGGCATTCCATCATAGTCCTCAAGTGTGATAATCTGCATCTATTGACATACACATAGACATCTACATTTATCTACGAAGATAAATGTCTTTGGGACACAACATCTATGTACGATCAGGTGTTCTGTGTGCTCGTTTGTCACCCTGATTCTATAAAAAAAATGTGATTGATGTTGAAGTAACATTGCGAGGAAAAGAGATATGTACAATAAATAAAATATGTTCATTTCTGGAACATGCGTAATATGGAGTCCAACACTTATAACGCAACGAATTTTTTACTTTAAACCTATAAGGGTCCGTTCACACAGACCGGCTCGGAGAGCATCGGCCTGCTTTTTTCTTTTCACACAGACCGGGTCGTATACGCTTGGAATTGGCCGGAGCGGAGCCGCCAACTATTTCACATCGACCGGCTGGAAGAGATCTGAAAGCGGGTGCGGTTGGATGTGCTCGGAGCCGGTCGGATGCGCTCGGAGTCGGGGTGGATACACTACAAAGGCAGTGCCAATATTCCGCGCAGTCTAAGTTTTGTTTTCGGTGTGTTAACGTGTGCTTTTCGAAACATGGATTTAGATAGCTCCGACGAAGAAATATATTTGTTAGCAAGATTACTTGAAATAGAACATAGGAAACGTAAGCGCAAGCGGAAACAAATATGGGTAAAACATATTTGGAAAAACAGACTAATCCATGGGGAGTTTCACACCATTTTCGAGGAATTGAAGAGAGATAGCCTAAAATTTTATGAGTATTATCGTATGGAATATTGGCAATTTTTGAAATTGACAGATTTGTTAAGAGTACATATAACAAAAAAAGACTACAAATTATCGTTGCACCATTACAGCCGAAGAAAGGTTAACGGTAACTTTAAGGTAAATAAAAAACAATTATTTATACTAATCATGTTATTTAGATCACAAAATCACAGCCCTCCATTTATTAAGCATTGTTTACGTTAATGAAATGTAAATTACTTATACTAATCATGTTAAATAACACAAACATCTAAATAGATCACAAAATCACAGCCCTCCATTTATTAAGCATTATTTACGTTAATGAAATGTAATTAAATAGTACAGATTTGTGTGTGTTTAATTATTATTATTATAATTATTATTGTTTTTGATTGTTTATTATTTTGTATTTTGTGTGCTGGTATTGTACCCGTAAGTAGTCTGATCTGGATAGTTTTGAGGAATATAGGTTTCGTTTGACACTAGGTAAGTAGATTGATTAGTCGATGGCGGTGAATTTATAGACAAAGAATAATTCAAATCTGTACTATTTTCATACAGACTTAATTCAGCTTCATTAACAATGTTAAACACGCGCCTTTTAATTCGTGCTTGGACTTCTTTTGGGAATGTTTCCACTGTATCTGACATAGACAAAAAAAAATTACGTAATGCCTTGTCACGGGGTGTAGTATTTCTTTTTTCTTCAAGATACTCTTCGAAAACCGTAGCAACATCTTTGCTTAAGCGTGGTCTCTTTTTCGAGCCAGAAGTACTTGCAAGCGATTCAACTTCAGAATGGTCAGAACGTTTAGATGATGTCGATGGTGGTGGTATTGGTGTGCCAGGCTCTGAATCATCCGATGATAATGTTACATTAGATATTTGGTTTCGATTGCGAAAAAATGGTATTATAAAAGAAAGTTCTTTTTCAAATTTTATCAATTTGGACGTAGTTGCACCATCGCCACTCTTGCCTTTTCGGTTATAATACGCTTTTCTGAAGTTATCTCGCAGTTTCTTCCAACGATCCTGGCACTGCGTCACTGGAAAGAACAGAAATGAAAAATTAATAACATAACTCGTTTTTATCTTATAGTTCGTTTTGGTACGGCAGTCTTATATTTCTATTTTGTGTGTTTGTTTTATTTTTACAGATTCCTCATCACTGGTTGCAGTTTCAAAAACTTGTCATTTAATTTTCGAATGGGAATTTCTACAGTTCATTCAATTATTCATGAGACAATCAGAGTAATTTGTGATGTTTTGATGCCCATAGTTATGCAGATGCCAGATGAAGAAATGTGGGAAAAGGTTTCACGTGATTTCTTTAATATTTGGAATTTTCCTAACTGTTTGGGCGCTATAGACGGAAAGCATGTCAATATACAGGCACCAGATAATAGTGGAAGCTTATACTATAATTATAAAAACTTTTTTCAGTACAGTGTTACTAGCTGTGGTCGACGCGAAATACAGTTTTTTAATTGTTGATGTCGGATCATATGGTAAAAATAGCGACGGCGGAATTTTACAGAATTCAAAATTTTGGAAAAAACTCAACACCAATAAGTTAAAGCTGCCCCCAAATAAACCTCTACCTAGTACCACTGAAAGCTTACCACATGTTTTTATAGGAGACGAGGCATTTCCTTTGAGCAATAATATATTGCGGCCGTATCCAAGAGAACAAGCAAGAACAGAATTATCAAAAAAAGTATTTAATCTGCGTTTAAGCAGGGCAAGAAAAGTCGTAGAATGTGCATTTGGAATGCTAACTCAAAGATTTGAAATTTATCAAAAACGAATGAAAATTCAGCCGAAGTACTGTGATTTAATTATATTAGCAACTACATGTTTACATAATTTTTTAATAGAAAATCGGACGCCAGGACAAGAGAATGAATTTCACAGCAATATAAATTTATTAACAGCAATAACAGACAATAATAATGAAAACAGTTCTAATAGCGACGCAGTTCTAACCACAAGGAATAAATTTAAGGATTATTTTTCATCAAGTGGTGCTTTAGATTGGCAAGATCAAGTGGCTACGCGAGTTTCTTAAGTTATATTTAATAAAAATTGTCTACTACATAAGTATATTCTAACGATCAGATACTCAAACGAGTTTTTAAAGTAAGGGCGCATTTAAACTCATGTTATTCCTATTTTGACTTTGAATCTAACACGTCGCAGCACGAGTTTAAGAAGCCCTTGCTTTAAAATTCGTTTGAGTATCTGGGGGTAGGTGTAAAACAACGAAAACCTTACTTACCACTTATTCCGAGACATTTGCTAATTTCCTCCCATGCATTGTCTTTCATTATCCGATCGCTATATGATGGCTTGGTTATGTCAAATAAACACTCATATTTTGACACGAGTATTATTAATTTTTCATCATTCATCTTTTCGTACAAGTACGCACAACTATTACGTTCAAATGTTGCTATCAAAATGGCGGTCGGCGCGGCCGCAGCGGGCACGCAATCGGAGCCGATCGGCTACGCGATAGAGAAAGAGCACGCAATCGGAGCCCATCGGCTGCGCGAGCGAGAAAGAGCACGCAAGCGGAGCCGGTCGGCTCCTTTTATTACTTCACACGAAGCGCGTTCAGGCATTTTTAATGACAAAAAAGGTGCAAATGCAAAAATAAACTTTACTACAATCACTCAAAACACTGTTTCCAACGTGATAAAAATCTGCTCTCCTCTCCGAGCCGGTCTGTGTGAACGGACCCTAAAAAATAAAATAAGACTGCAATTTGAAGTGTTTATCGACTGGATTGTCTTCTGATATATTAAAAACGTTACCCCCACTAAGATTTTCTCGTGTATCGTACTGGCACTTTACTTTACTTTTACTTTACACATAAGTGGCACAAAGATAAACAGCCTAACCCGCTACTGCCAGGCTTGTAAGATTATAAAAATTATTTTGCTCTCAAAGAGACTCACCATACAAAACAAAAAGTGAAAACATGGTCTTTCCCCGGTCGAGCCGACCCATTCGTTCCTGTAAAGATCACATCATAAATCAGTACATCACAGATAACAATTTCAGTAGTTTCAGCATCGTGGATCAACTTTCGGAAATATCAACGTGAAGTATAAAATAAAATGTGTAGTTCTTATATAAGCGATTTGTGGGTTAATTACGTCATTATTTATGACTCCTTACTCCGTCATCGGTAATTACTCTAAGGGTAAAGCTCAAAGTCGTGATCTGGCTAAAGGTTTAGTTCTATTTACCAATGTGCTAATATGTGCATTGGTTTTGAGAAATCTTACTGACAAATCCTTTTAATGATTACATATTATGGTATGTGGTGTTTTATAAAAATACAAAGAGGAAAAAATTAATGTGTCCCTTATTTATTTTTATATTTGGTGAATGCGGTGTGATCGAAGTACAAAGAAAAATATTTAATTTTGCAGCTGAAGAGGGAATACCAATCTCAAAAATTAAAAAATTTTACTTTCGGAATCTTAATAAAGACTTGACGTCAACCTAGAACTTTGACGTAGTACAGCGTAAAATAGCAGCCTAATACTGCTTCATATGGTGAGTGTACCGGAGACCCTTGTACTGGTAACGAGGCATTCTATCTTAGTCCTCAGGGTCGTCAACACATCTGCATTTTGATTCTTAATCGAGAATAAATGTAGATGTCTATGGGACGCGGAATTCACTTACCACCAAGTGGACTGTGTCCTCGTCTGTCACTATTTTGTAACGAGCTAACGAGGCTCAGGAAATAAGAAAACTTTTTCCTGCTAACGAGGCATTCCATCTTATTATAATTATAATTCGTTAGCCCTTTGGAGTTATAACGAATCTGCGTCTGCATTTTCTTTGTAAGCTAGGAATAGATAAGGTAATTTATAGAAACAGCATCAAATTACAATGAGGTGGACTTTGTTTTTTTGACAACTACCAGTTACAGTATTGTTTTTCTTGTATTAAAAAGTAATGCAGAACCAAAATAAAACCCGCTTTAATGTAAGTAAATATCTATCTTTGTTATAAAAACAAATTATTAGGAAAGAGTATTATTTAGAATGGCTGACCCGATCTTCGTGCTAGATATAATGAACAATGACGAAAGCAGCACAGCATCAATTTCCCACTCAAAGTTCCCACGAAATATATTTTTGCCTATGTTTTTATGGACAGAAATCTGTAGCGCAATTTACACTATATTAGATAAGATAAAACAGATTCAGGCGTCTGTTTCATCTCATCATATGCTTAACCAACCAGTAAACAAACGTGCCTTCACTTTTCGTGGATTTTTCCCAGTTTATGAGAAGCAGAAATTTATCAGCTGCTTTAAATGCGTATGCGCTGTGTATGTCTTACTAAGACTTTGTTAGGTGGGTGTTTTAAGAGCTGTTTCTCTGTTCTACTTATTTATACACCAATTTGATATTATTTAAAAAAAAAACGACAGTTTACCGACACTATTTTGATCATAACCGATGATCGGAGTGTAGGAGAGCCAACCATTAGATGGCGTGACGACTTGGTAAGATATGAGTTGCCGAGTGCAGGGACAAACTCGTGTCTGAAGTCGAGTCTTTGCTGAACATAAGCTCGGATTGGGGGTGACTAATTCTAGTCCAGTTTAATCCTCAGAAGACAAGTTTTTTTAATGAAAATTATTAGTAATCTTATTAATTAACATTACTAATATTCCTTTTAACCACTCCTGGTAAGCTGGAAACGCTTGTGTTAGGAGTGAGTTAGGGTACACGACAGTAGTCAAATGGCGGATTCAAGCCCACGACCTTTTGAGTTCGTGATCCGCCGCCTGCCATTAGGCTACTGTTGTTTTATGCATTTGCGCGTTTACCGCTAACAAGAAACCCTTTGTCGTATCTCCTCAGTTTCTAGGAGTACCTTGTTGCCTCAGCTAGTATCGGAATCCTTGGCATTGACATATCGAGTGACGTGCAGTTTCGTGGTCATTTGGAAAACAAGGCCAAATTGGCCACTAAAAAGCTTGTCGTGCTCAGCAGAGCGGGACAGTATTTCATGCCGGCACACCGCCCGCAACTTTACAAGGCTCAGGTTCGGCCGCACATGGAATAATGTTCCCATCTCTGGGCTAGGGCTCTCCAGTGCCAGCTCCTTCCACTTGATCGCATCCAGCGCAGCGCATCGATCGGGTTGATTCACTAACCCTGCGAAGAGATGTTGCATCCCTTTGCACTTTCTTTCGCATCTACTATGGGGAGTGCTCTGAGGAATTGTTCGGATTGATCCCAGCCGTCAAATTTCATGAACGCACATCGCGGTAAAACTTCCAAAGCCATTCGCACCATCAGGAGGCTTGGCAGTCCACCACTGTACGTTTCAGAAGGAGTTTTCTTTCGCGTACGACCTCTCTATGGAATAGTTTACCACCGGCTATTTTTCCGGACCGATACGACTTGGGATCTTCAAAAAAAGAGCTTACTTCTTTCACTATTTTGTTTATGGGTGGTGGTAGTCACTTATCATCAGGTTTTTTACGTGGTGGAGCCATGCTACAGTTATATTAGAAGTATAGTTGTGGCACGAAAGGGTCGGCTTGACCGGGGAAGGACCACGCTCTCACATAATACCAGCGTAAAATAGTAGCTTAATGCTGCTGTGTTTCGTATGGTGAGTGTAGAGAACCGGAGACCCTTTTTACTGGAAACGAGGCATTCCATCTTAGTCCTCACGGATGACAACGCATCTGCATCTTGATTCGTAACGAGGATAGATGTAGATGTCTATGGGCCACAGCAACCACTTACCATCACTGGACTGTGTGCTCTTTTGTCACCCAATCCTATAAAAAAGATGAGAAAATATGCAGGAAGTCGTTGTATGCTCTGGACTGTGCGTTGTGCTTCGATCATCTAGCGTTGTGGCATTATTTGGGAGAGGCATATTTTTTCCTATACTCTTTGATATGTATAGTAAAATATGCATGCTTATGTTTTGACATATATATTTAATATTTTGCGGTATGATGTTATTTAATATATTATAATAAATTAAAAGAAAAAGTATATAAATCTATTTAAATCTTTCTAATTGTAAATGTCGATTACTGAAGCAGGTGTAACGAAAGGTATTGAAAACTAGCTAGTACCGACGCGTGCGACAGCTGAAGATACAATTTTGAAAATATTGTTTCCAATTTGGAAGAGTTATATTGTTTAATTAGGAATAACAATAATATTTATAGCTTTCAAATAAACTTGTCGGTATGATACGTGCGTCACATATTGTAAGTTAATTGTACAATGACCATAGCCTTCGAGCAAGCGCAAGCAATAAGTTGAGAAAGTTCAAGCGCAATCTCATGAACGGTATGGCAACGCATAAAACACGAACAAACAAACATTAAGTTATATATATTAGATTAGATAACACGGCTGGTCGTTGTGACCGGATATTCTTACCTTACTCTCACGGCTAACCAACCATAAACGGTGGCACGACGCATTAAGATACCGCAGATACTTACCTGAAAGAAAATTAAAATATAGATTATAATATCTACGTTTAACACTATGACCTATTTACTGCCACACTAACAGTTGTATCTAACAAACCATTTTATCTTTAACCTCTCAACCCCCTAGCGGTCTCATGAGACCGCGGCCATATTCCGTCAAATCTCTAGCGGTCTCATGAGGTCGCACCCACCAACAGCACTTTAACACATAAAGACTTACATATAGAGACTACTTTTCTATGAGGAAGTTTAGCATTATATAATCAATATGAAATACTCTATCCTCTAGTGCAATAAAAAAACTGTTATCCTATGAATATTTATTTATAATCTACGTTTATTTCGTACGCTATTTTCGCGTGAATGTTATTGTGTTGATTTTTGGATTTTTCTAGTGTTTTATTAGTGTTTTAGTACAGTGTTTTATTATAAAATTGTAATGAAAGTTTTTGTGTGAATATAATTTATCTTTTTACGTAAATACTTTCGAGTAATATATATTGAAATAATAGTGATTTTCACGCTGTCGACATTCGGTTGGTATTTTTTTTTGTTATCAAAATACAATAAAATGTTTTTGTAATTAAGTAAAACTTGACTTTCGTTTAGACCACAGGATAGAGAATTTTGTATAGATTTTATAATGCTAAACATTGTCTAGAAAAGTAGTCTCTAAATATAAGTTTTAATGGTTTTAAGTGCTGTGGGTGGGTGCGGTCGCATGCGACCGCTCGGGATTTGCCGGGCGCATGCGACTGCATGGGATTTTTATGGCGCTTGAAGGGTTAAATGCTACATTAAATGCATTAATAATTTACTATGCGCCACTGAGTGCTGCAATTGCTTTTCACTTAGACCTTTCTACTGTAGTACAGACAAGATAAAAAATAGGTGTGTGTTCTCCTGGAAAAATGCACGATTCCTGTAAAAGTAAAGTAAAGTTACAGCCTATATACATGTCCCACTGCTGGGCATAGGCCTCCTCTCATTTCTGAGAGGGTTTTAGGGCGAGGAGTAGTCCGCCGCGCTGCCCAATTCGTGTTGGCGAACTTTCACATGTCTTTGAAATATTTTTTTTCTTATTTCTCAGACATGCAGGTTTCTTCACGACGTTTTCCTTCACCGTCGAGCACGTGGTAAATCAGCACTTAAAATTACAATTAACAATTTCATTGGTGCCGGCGGGGATCGAACCCGGTTTGCTTGCGTATTGTGAAGTTTACAGCGAGCGCTAACCATCTGAGCTACCACGGCTCACGGCACGATTCCTGTAGAATAAACTAATGGTATAATTCTGTAA